AACAGTATATCCAATTCCTCAAGGATCAGGTATTTTCCATAAGGCAGAAAGAAGTGACGCCTCCAGCAGGGCACAAAACTGGCATGAAAGGAAAGGCAGTGGAAAATGACCCAGAGGATAAGACAGCTTAATTGTACCATTTTGCACAAGCTAAGGATGTGGTCTTTTTCTCTGCTAGGCAAATTCAAATAGAAGACTGGAAGCTGGATTGCTATTTATCAAACAAATACCATTTTTATTGACTTAGGGCTCTTCTAGCATACGGGAACATGACAGTCTGGCACTGAGCACGTGATTGATCTGAACCTTCTCAGTAAGTTTACCATGTAGTTACCCTGTGAAAATGTGGCATGGAGTATTTATGTAACAGCTACCATGAAGCATTAAATACAGAAGCAAGTGTCTAAACTGTAGAATCAGAGAATAGGTGGGTTTGGAAGAGACCTTTAAAGGTTATTTACTCCATGGTGGGTTCTGAACTGACGTCATACAGGACCAAGACCTTGGAGCTATGATAGATAGTTCAGTGAAAACATTAGCTTAATATTAAGCAGTAGTTAAAAAACCACACCAAACCCTTAAAAACCCCCCCAACATAACCCCAAAATGTTAGGTATTATTAGAAAAATAACTAAAAGAAACACAAGCATCCTAAGGATGGAATATAACATGAATAGCTGGGCAAGATGGATAGGGATCTCTCTTCTGGCACAAGAGACAGTGCCATCAAATGAAGGCACGTTGTTTATTCAACAGGCACTGAAAGTCATTGCTGAACAAGTTCAAGAAGAGGCTGGACAAGGATCTAGAACCCATTGAGGTTATTAAATAGACAGAAACCATGTCTGCTTAGGGGGTCATCTGAAGGCTTAGGGTTTAAGTATAGTGTTGGATAGAGGTTTTTGTTCTTCCTACGTGTCTTTTCTTGTCTTTGTACTACCACTGTTGGATGCTGGTATTGTCCTACATAGACCCTTGATCTGCCCCACTGTGGCCATTCCTGTGTTGGATGATTATTTTTGGAGTACAGTTGCTTAAATGCACCATTGCTTAAATTCTGGACACATGAATCACTTGCTATTACATACAATCCACAATTGCTGGCATACTAGATGAAAATCTTTTTCTCTCTTACTATTAAATTTCACTTTTTGTTTTTCTACTCCTTGACATACTCCTGCTGATTGAAATGAAATTTCATCTTAGCTTTTTTCATTCAGGAAAGAAGTACTTGGAAAACTGATTGTTCAGCAACTCCTGACAGCAGTCAAAGCAGTGGTCCCTACTAGCAGTGCTGTCATTGTAACCTGAGTTTAATTTCAGGACATCTGGGCTAAAATATTTCTGTAAATGACAAAAGAACTACAAGAGAAAACATATATAAAAAATATATACATGCACTTATGAAACTGAAAATTACAGTAGCCATCAAATTATTGGATTCATTCCTTTGTCCTCACTCTGTTCTGTGTTCTCTTTTGTATTTTTACCTCATGTCAATCTTTCATGTTCTAGGATTTCTTGAATGCATAGGACAAAGGATTTCCACTCATTTTCACAGGTTTTTTTTTCATCTTCCCTAACTACTTTAGTGCACCACTAGATAGCACCAATATACTGTCCTTTCCCCAACTTAAGCAATTTCCCTTTTCTGTGCAATTGAGAAAACCCCCTGTACTGTACTTCAAACTAATAAAAGGTCAAAAGACTTAAAGAGTCTTTCTCACTTCACTCCAATAAAAAGCACTGCTCCAATTTTACTAACGCGTGTTTTTAAATTACATGGGAGACTGGTCAGTTTTGGGTTTGGTTTTAGTCTATTACAATGTGCTATTTAATATTGTGCAAAACAATAACTTCTGCTCTTTCATCCATTTCTAACTTCACACCTGCAGCATCTCCTGGCAAATCAGTTGCACAGACCCACCTGTCAGCACTGAGAACAGTCAGGGTAAACACTGACACTCCAACTGAGGTTAACTGGATAAAAGACAGCAGCTTGCACCCAATCCTTCCGAAGAGCCAGGTATCCACAACGTAACGTGTTGCATCTATAGGCACACAGGTTAAGAGGAGCAGCAGGTCTCCAAATGCCAGGCTGGTGATGAAGATGTTGGGAACCGTCTGCATTGATTTAATCTTGAAAAACACTTTGATGAGTATAGCATTTCCAAGGAGACCCACTGAAATGATCACAGCATATGTGATGTAAATTGTGCACAGTATTTCTAATCCTGGAAAGGAGTCTTCGGTCCATTTTTCATTTGTTGTTTCATTGTCAGTGATTGATTTCAGTGCTGTACCATCCATAGATGCACACAAAGTCTGATTAGCTGAATGCAAGTATGCTTGAGACATTTCTTTAACTGTTTCTTCTCCCCAGGCTGGACTTAGGTTGATCAAAAAATTGTTAAATATTTAGCTTGCAGCATATTAGCAAGGTCAATGGAGAGGTGAAGGTTTGTATCTGAAATCAGGATTCCCGTTGCACATTAGCTACTTTCATCCCCTTCTGGATCTCAAAACATGCCTAGGAGAAATGCACATAGATCTTGTTCTGAACTGTGGAGGAGGTGGAGAATTTTTTTATTGGCTTTTCAGCTATTGGAGCAGAGAGGGAGGAGGAAGAGAGGAACAGAATTTCTTTAAAGACATTAGCTGAAATGAGGTGCTTTTTTCTTGGAGACATCTGGCAAGTAAATATCATATGATGACTATTATGATATTAGGCTTTGTTTATTACTTAGCAAATGTTTCCTAATGTTGTTGAAAATATTCTAAAAAGGAAAAACCTGAAATGGAAACCTGAAATACTTTTCTCAGTAGTACAGGTAAGCAAAGAATATACTAACTTAACACAAAACTCTTCAGTATACATTAATGAAGGATAAAATAGAACATATATAGTATTTGCTGAAAAAGCTGTAGAGACTGCCTATGTTCTGATTAGTCTTTCTATCACAGCAATGCAGTGACCTTCCAAAAGGCAATATAAAATCAAAATTTAGGGCCATAATACTGCTAACATGTATATTAAAGCTTAGGTTTTTCCATTAGAGCAGTCCCATTGCCATCAAAACACCTTATGCTAAAGTTTGAACAGGTTTATAGATAGGTGCTGGACAGAAGCCTTGTATCTTGCAATAATCCATGTATGTATTGGGTTTGGATGGTAAAACCGATTATTCAAATCTTCTGGGAGAAAAATAACATTTTCTGATGCTTTCTCAATCAAACATATTTGTAATATGAGTTTTCTTATATTTAGATAGTCAACAGTCAAATCTTAAACTGTACATTGTAATGAACTCCTGATTAACTTTACTCTAAACTAAGGTACAAGGAGTGTAGTGCATTGAGTTAAATCTCCTGAAATTAAGAAAGCCATGGTCTAATTTCTAAGTAGTGGAAGTGGAAAAGCTATCAATGGATTGATCTTTATGCCTTGAAAATGAAAATCAGTAGCTATTTTTCCTTCAGAATGTTCTTGAGCTGTGATGTTCTAATGGACAAGGTACCCTGCTCAAATCATGAAAGCAATCTCCCAGCAGCGTCCCTTTGTCTGTAGCTGCAGACACACAGACACACAAAAGCAAGTTTGTTTCATTTACTCAAAAAACCTTCTCTAAGTACTAAGCGTGAGAAGTCTTAATTTTTCCTCTCCCAGTCCCAATCCTTTCAAACACAGCCACGCCATAGGTATGAGGTGGTGACAGACCAGGTGGTAAACGTTCGATCAAATGTAGGACCCGTGCTGTGGAGTGGTGGGAGAAGGACTCACTGATGCAAAGAGGATGTATGGGTTAAAAATTCTGATTACATTTTTTGAAAGTGCTTTTAGAAGAGAAGCTCTTGTCACGATCAACCATAATATGTCCTTTCATGCAGGCACAGTATGTAGGTTGCTCACAGATTTAGGTATCTTTGAGGATGCCTGATTATGTTGTCCACCCACACTGGCGTAGCACTGTGCATTATATTTAATACAGAGTTCACTGACTGCAGCAGATTGTGACAGCTTAATGTCAGATAGTTACATAAAATGTTTAGTTTTCCTGTATGGGAGAAGCAGGGTGTCACCAAACATTGGGAACTAATTGCACTCCACCAAGTGTTGAGTACTCAAGGGTGGCATCTGAATGAAGCATCAGGTGTTTAGCTGAAACTGGGATTTAGCTGAAACAAACTCATCGCTTGCCTTGAATTGCACTAGAGGTTGGTTGATGCTCCAAAGCTCAGACAGCAGCAGATCCCAGCCTCTTACAGTTCCAGAGCTTCCAGAGCCATCTGAAAGATTTGGGCTGATAACATGAACTCTGAGGCTCAGTAGTTCACTCAACCATTCTGTATGTTGGGACAGAGAATCTGAACTGATACCCCTCTGTGTGACACATAATCCACAGGACTGGACTCATGAGCTGTGAGTTGCTCCCAGCAGTTGGTTTGGGGAGGATTCAGGTATGAAGGGAAAGCTGACAGACCTCCTGACCCATATTAAAACCTCTTGAGGACATCAACATGTGCCACAGATGAAAGCAACCCCAGACAGGGGCAGAGGCTTAAAATTCTCTTTACTCCTGATACTTCATGTGCTGTTTATCCCAAACTGGACCTGAGTTGATGTGTCTGGACCTGAATGCTCAATTTGATGCTTTGCACTTCAGAAGCCCTCATTACCAGGATACACAGACACATTTTCCCTCCTCTTTTTCTAGCAGGGCACAGTATGTATGTCTAACCCAGCTCACAGCAGCATGAAAGTCTACTTGGTTTTCTCTTTCCACTGAGAGACTGCATTTTTCCCATCTTTCTTCCTCCCTGGGGAAATGTGGCAGAAGAAAGCTCCATCATTTCTCACAATTATTCCTTCAGTCCTTGTATGAGTGCAGGTTTTAGGTAGTTGGCCAGGTTCTCTCTTTATGGAGCATAAGATACTGTCTTGGTGGATTGATAAGAGGTGAAAAATACTATTTTGAAAAAGCACACAAAATAACACTGTCTAGGCCCAACAAAAGCCAGATAGTAAAGCACATCTGCAATTTGTTTATGATGGTAGAATTTCGGCTATTTCTGGTAGCTTTCAGTTGTTCAAATGCTGTTCAAATCCAGCTGAAAAGGAAGAGAACGGCATTGTTATTCCAAATTGTAAAATACTCTAAGGTGTTATTTTAGAGCTTTGTCTCCTGGTGCAAAGAGAAAAGCAATTTGGGTAATTCTGGCTATTGTTTCAAGTACCAGGCTTCACAGAAAATGAATGTTCCTTTTTGAACTCCATGCTGCAAAAAGGTATGAGTAAAATACTCAGGAGTATATAATTTAGCTGTATTTTTAATGCAAATTTTCTGTTTTAATGCAGTGTGACTGTTTACTTAAGTCATTGCCATGTGCTGCATAGTGTCACCCACTCAGTAAAATCCTTCAGAACCATTTGCTCTGCACCAAGCCAAAATACGAAGAAAACAGCCAAAACTTAACTCCCATTAAGGAGTTGATTTTCCAAAATTGTAATTATTTTGTGGTGCATATTTTTATTATTTCGATGTACATTGGTCATGCTGCATTGATTGCTATTTATACAGATATGTCAAATTGCTTTGTGGTTAGAATGCTAGGAACACAAAACTGATACACACTGAACTGCGGCTACATTAGCCAGCCTGGGGGTTTTAGGATTATTTTAACTCAGTCTTTTTTAGGTTGTTATTTGTATAATTTCTGCATAGAACTATTTAGTTGTCTTAATTCTTCTTTTATGTCTCAAGCTCATTTTAGCCCCTTGCTTTGGTTGTCTCTCCTAGCAATTCCACCATCTGTTTGTTGCTGGCTGGTGTAGCCTTCTGTCTCCACTGAGCAAACCGACGTTTATGTTCGTCGGGTGTTAACGACAGAGAGATACTGAGCAGCTTGTCTATCCTAGTCCTGAGTTTTGGCAGACTGTTGTAGCATCCTCCCTTATAAAAGGCTTTTCTCAGACTGAGATCTCTCCAAGAGATGAGCCTGATTGCTCTCCACGTGCCCAGACTGTTCAGCGCAGAGCAGGACTCTGCTGCCGGGTCACCACAGGCACATTCCTCCTACTCCTCCCTGGATGGGGAAAACTGATTTGAAGTCTAGCAGCCTGGAGTCCTTCAACAACTCTAGCTTATAAACTAGACTCTGCAGTTGTAACTAGAATTATCTGAAATACATTTTTCTGCCTAGTGTTTTCTGAACTGACAAAGCCAGTGTTGGGAAGAGGAATCTCTGCTCTAGAGACAACATCCTAAGGGATGGCTGTGTGTAATTGCCTTGTTTCTGACTCACATCTGTGTTTCAGCTTTAGTGTCTTCTCTTTAAATTGAAATTGCCAATGCTGTGACAAGTAATGGCAAGATGGGGGGACAAAGAGCCATTTCATGGCTGTGTGACTTGTGTGACTCTTCCCAATCCATTTTCTAGTGTTCAGGAAGGCAGGTATTAAATGGAAAAGCCTGAATGCACACCTGGAGTGAGCATCCCTGTCAGAGATAGTGGTCCATGTCTAGAGCAGATTATTAACACATCCAGGGTTGTGTTCAGTTCTGCTCTGTCCTCCTGGGACAATGGGAATGAGTCATTTCCATGCACCACATCTGAGTGCCTCCCTAAACATAGAGAACATCACCTTCCCATCTCACCAGACATCCATTTCAGAGCTACGAGTGTCAGGCAAAGGGAAGGAATGTTGCAGAGGGCACTGCCCACGCTGGATTTCTTCACTTGTGAGCACGAGAGCTTTATTTCAGTGTCTGTCAGTCTGATGTTTTTTACCACTGATTGGGAACATCTTCTCTATCCTGTATTTTGATTTTTTTACCATTTCCCAATCTCCTCAGCAGCTGGAGACTAAACAACTACTGAGCTGTAAAAATGGAAAATGTTTTTTAGTACACTTTAATGATGATTTCCTTGTCTGCGTCACATTCATGGCAATCTGTAACCATTTATTGTTAAAGACTACCCATTAGGAGAATAACACATTGGTTTATTACTGGGTTTGTCAGTGTGGAGTTGATTTTACACCAAGGGCAGAGGGAGCTGTGCAGGCACTGAGACTCAGGGCATTGAATCCTGCAGCAATATTTAATTGGAACAGCGTCCCTGTTTTTTGAAACTAAAGATGGGCTATCCAATTAAACTTTCAAATACCACAAAACTTATCAGCATGTCTAGGAGTAAAAATAACACCATCTCAGCCCTCAGTGTTATGAAAGTGAGATGGAAGGTCAGTTTGGATGAGCTGTCAGGGGGAACATTCAGTGATACAGCAACAAGACAGATAACTTCTTGGTCAAAATATGAGAAAAGAGTTTCTGATTTTCTTGCAATGCCCAATTCCAGACTGTTCAGTGGAGTTAGTGGGACAAACTCTGCCTGCAATGGGATCTCAAATGCTGTCATTAATCTGTGGCTCCAAATACCTTTTATCCTGTTTCTCTATTCTTGCATTCCTTCCAGCCCCCTTTTCCAAAAGTTTCCTCAGCCAGTTCCAATATGGGAATGGCCAGTGAAATACTGGTGTCATTTCTGAGAAAAGAGAGAAAAATAAACAGTGGAATTCAGTCCTTGAATTTCTTCAGTTACATGCACAACCAGGCAAGGAAGTAATATAGCAGCATAATTCTTTTGGGCATCCTTGAAACTCTCAATGATACATTTAATTTGGAACCATTAAAATGCCATTACATGCTAAATACTTTCTGATACCTAAAAGCACAGTGAATTGTGCATTAAGACTTAACAATCATCTTATGCAATAGGTAATTATCTCCCCAGTATTTTGATTTTTAATCTCAAATCATTTCCCATAATGACACTTCTTTTGTTGTCCTAATAATAACTGTCTGCTAAATTTAGAAAGAATTATACATCTTGGGTGTAAGCATTGCTACCCTGTGTTGTCAACCACTCCTGCAGATTCAGACACTCTCAGGAGGAAGCTTAAACAAGCTGTACTGACCTTCAGCTGTCATCCTACGTAATATTTATCTATCCCAGGGTTACCAAAGCACTGTACATACACTGAGCTAGAAGGCAGCTTTAGCCCCTTGTTCATGAAGGGACATAAAAAGTCTCTGAGAACCCGTGAGTGAGCTGCCAACACCTTGGATATGCATCCCCTGACTTAGCTGGTACAGAGGGTGGTGAGTTTTGTGCCAGTCTAAATAGCAAGATGGGAGTGGGGAGTGTTTTGTTCAATTCGGCACAACTGCTGCAGTGACTTTACTATCATTTTTTATTTCTTTTGTATCATCTAACCTATTGTTAGCAACCCACTGCGATCTGACATTGAATAATTGTCTTCATAGATAAATATACTTCCTGAAATCTTTATTTTACTGCTTTAAAACAGAGCACACATTTCCTGGTGCATGTATCGCTAAAAATAAGCAATCTAGGAGTAAATGAGGATGACTTAGAAATCAGAGGAGCTTTTAGATTGAGTCGTAGAACCATGGAATGGTTTGGGTTGGAAGGGACCTTAAAGATCATCTCATTCTGACCCCCTGCCACGCACAGGAGTCAACTGATACAATCCAAACTGGGAGGAGGACGGGATTGTATCAGTCACACACGGCTCACGCTCCAGCCAGAGCTGTGGAAGCTGTTCCCATCACTGGAAATTATCGGGAGGTGAATCACAAGCACATAGCAGATTTTATTAGATTTGTTCTTTGTGCATGTCCTCTCCCTGTGAAAACCATCAATGCACAATTCTGTGACAGAATGTCAGCGTAGATACGTTGGAGAAGAGCAGATGCAATGGTGCCGGCGCGGAAGACATTATTTCAGCCCAAGGAAAATTACACATCCTCATTCTGGCTGACAACCTAAACAATGCCATGCTTGAAACATAAATGATACACTGTTTAGCTGGAAAAGCCATTAGGCATGTGATGGAGAGTGGAAGTGAGCTAACAGCCTTCCCAGAACAAATAGCGCTTTGCATTTTACATAAGCAAGTTGACAGGGTTTTAAAAATTTACTTCCAGATTTTGCTTTTTGAATAGAAAACAAAAATTCAATAGCAAGAATGGAGACCTGACATCGCTCCACACTGTGCAGCTTGCTCTTCTTCCTGCTGGTACACCTCCAAAATGGGAAACATGCTGATGGATCCACCCAAGAAATTTCCAGCCATTTCTCAGCAGCCAGACAAGTCTTCAGTATTCCAGCACTTTTCTTACTGCTTGTCCAGCTTTTATTCGAATCTTTGTTCGTCTTAATCCATTAATAATATTATGAAGGCATTTTGCTAAGACTTTAGTAAATCAAGGTACATTTCTCCTTTTATCAGGAATGTAATTAAACAATTACAGGATGCAGGAGAAAAGGCCAGTGTCACGTTGCTCTCGTATTGATCCTCTTTTACTGCCTTTTTATTTTAAATTGGAGTAATAGAAAATAGATTTGGGAGAACTTTTAGCAGGTCTTCCAGTCCATCCTTTGCCCTAAGGCAAAATATACTAATACCAGTTCTGACAGATATTTGTCTCATCACTATGAGTGTTTTTTAATACCTGCAATGATGGCAATTCCGTGTGCTCTCTAGACCACTTAGTCCTTAAGAATAGAAATTGTTACCTAATGTCTAGCCAAAATGTAAGCCCTTTATTTTCTGTCCTCTGAAGTGGATGCAGAAAGAATTACTGCATGAAGGAGAAAGTGAGGGTCAAAGCAGGGTGGTAGAGACACGTCAGACTGTCCACCCACCTAGACTTACTGATATTGTGGCAGAGACAAACTAGTGTAAAAGGGACTTGTGGGAGGATTAAACTCCAGTTCTGCTGAAGAACTCCACAGGCTCCTTCCTTACCCTCTCAGGACCCCCCTGGGGTGTGCAGCAGCCAGGTTAGGGGTGCAGGAGGGGATCAGGCAGAGCTTTAACACCACAGCACAGCGTGTCCTGCTTTGCTTTGCAAAGAGGGAAAACTTGTATTCAGCAGCAGATTGTGAAACAAAGAGTTTGCTTATGAAAATAAAACCACAATACTCAGTGTCTGACATACTGAACTGCCTTTTATATTACATTTCTTTCCCATTGAAAGCAATTTCAAGTCAGAAACAAGTGGAGATGAGGTGGAACTTGTTTGCATGTTTTTAATGTCAACATTTCTCACAGAAAGATGAGGAACTGAAGGTGATCTGCCTGATTTCAAGTAGGCTGGGTGTAGCTACTGTACATTAAAATATTCATCTTTTCCACTAATTGCTGTGTGGGAGTTATTCACAGACTGAAAGAACCTTTGTATTTTCTATTGTACATACCAGCTCTAAAACATGGCTCCATTATATTATTTTACTCCTCTGTCACTGGTACAGGTTAGTATTTCACTATATTATCAATCATAAAAAAATCTTTACTTCAATGATACACAGACAAGGGCATTCAAAACTGAAACTAGGATTTGGTTGAACAGGCAAGTTACCAATTCAGACACATTTGCAGAAAGGAAGCCTCTCCTTCATAGGAGAGGAAAGTTGAGTCTCTCTTGTGATGTTATGAAATGGAGTTTAACTCTTACTGTATTCACAACAAAGTAATACTAAAAGTCAAACTTCTTAATTGCCACCTCCAAAGATGGTAGGATTTTATCTGCTATTGTTCTGTTTATTTTGTGGATTTTTTTTTTCAGGAGAGATAATCTGAAACTTATTTCATACACATAGATACCCATTAGACGTGGGAATTTCAGTTTTTATTGTTTCCACATTCCATTTGAAGGTACTGGGCAACATTTTCAAACATTTAAACGTGCATCTACATCTCTTTAGAGATCTAAAACCAGATCATCAGAGCCAGCACATCTGAAAATAAAAACATACATCTTGGAGGCTGAGTCCAACTTCTTGATTTCCAAGTTGGTCAAACTCCATTTCAGAAAAAGTAAGGAAAGATATGTCTGTGCCTGGGGCAGTCAACCAGCAGGCTAAAAAATATCACTTGAAACTCAGTATTATGTGTGTTAGGCTATGACAATAAGTATCAGATGAAGAAGAAAACAGAGAAATGGCAGGAGGGTGTAAAGGGTAAAAAAAAGATGAACTATGGGAGGGACTAATGAAGAGGGAGAGAATGTTTCCAGTCCCTGTTTAACATGAGGACTAATCTTGGAAACATGGGGGCAGCAAATCCTTGTGTGGTCAGGATTGAAATTCCACTGAAGCCTAGAGTTGAGTCATGGGATAACTGTGTCCAGAGTGATAACTGTACATTAGAAGTAATTATTTGAACAATGCTTGTTTTCATCCACAGAGGAGAACCATCACTAGATAATCAGAAGAAAACAAATTCAGTATCAGTGTAAAAATCCTGCTTTCTGTGGATAGTGCAGTCCTGTATCCATGGTTAGTGTTCTTTGTGAACAAGGATGTTTGGTCTCACCATCTTCTGGAGATACAGCACTGGGGTTGTAATGGACTTCAGCTATGGGAAAGAACTGGGAAAAAATTTCCATTATAATTATTTGGTTTAATGTATTTAGAAAGAATCCTGTAAGAGTATATGCAGAACTCACTGTTTTAACACCTTTGGGGAAATAACACAAATCAGCATGTTTCCAAAAACAACCAGGAATGTTTGGTGCTATTCCTGTTTCAGTAAATGGCTCTACAACAATTTCTTCATCTTGGAAGGCAAAACCTTCTGCTGGGATTCTTCTGGATTAAAAAGACTCACAGCAGGTCTTGTTCAGCTTTCTGGAATCCCCAAGATCTCAACTCTTTTGGGAATGCAATTCCACTTAGGGAGCACTATCGTCTATCTCAAGACTATGATGCTTCCTAACTGGAAGTAGGTCCCATGTGAGTAGCAGCCAGCTGGCCCAGGGTAGAATATCTCTTAGATGCCTAAGATGGAAGCTGAGCAGGGTTCCCTTCCTTTTGGAGAAGAGCCATGCCAGGATTTTAAGGGCTTTCTTACTTTCCTTAGTACAAGAGAAGCCACGTGTAATGTAGCCATTAACCCCAAACCACACTCTGGCACAGACAAAGCAGTGAAAGATTTTCTATTTATTTCCATTGGTTGGGATTTGACAGTCACCATATGGAACCTGTTGCATTCCAGTCTATGCAGTGCACACTGTTTTTCTTACCAATCTTAAAATTCCTATCTGGAGAAGACCTGGGAAGGAGATCTGAACCATTGGAAGTTGAACTTGTTCCATTAGAATTTAGACTCTGCAAAGCCTGGGATGGTGATTTGCGGTTTAAATGCTTTGGTGTAGATCCTGCAGTTGCACCTGACCCACTCCAGTCTGAAATCAGAGAGTGGAAGGCACAGGAACAAAATTCTTTACAGATGTCACATCTCAAACAGCCAGAGAATAACCACCCCTCAGACAGCCAGAGACAGCAAGACATCTCCCTTCTCCTTCCCGGGCTGAGCAAACCCAGCTCCTGCACATAAGAAATAGCTATTAGCATGCCCAATATTCTGCATAAATTTCAGAATCTCAGCTTTATGAAGATTGGAAAGTCACCAAAAACACTGCTCACATAAGGGAACACTGAATGGCATGTGAGAACAGAATCAGAGACCAAGCTAAAATAATTTTTGTAAATCTGCAGTTTTTACTGCATGCTGTCAACCCATCATCGTATCATATAAGCAGTTAATGGGAGAGGATAAAGACTTACTAAAGAAGAATCATCCAATGCAATGCAGAAAGTTTACTGAGGGAGCCTTATTTCTTAATGTAGAACAAATGTGGCACCAGTAGCAGACAAAGACTCATGAGTCAAGCTAAACAAACCCCCTCAGTGCTTACCAGAATAGTTACTCAGACGGAATCTTCCCCAGCAGAAGTGTACTCGGCACTGCTTCACTACCTCATCCTTCATTAGGCAGTGAAACACAAAGATAAAGAACCCTAGAGAAGCAAGAAGAGAGATTAATGTGTTTTCAGATGTATTCTCCAACCCAGTGTCCCTTTTCTAAATGTTTGGCATGCCCCTGATACCGGTAATGTTCTGCATGGGCAGAGAGGTGGTCCCTGGGCCAGCACTGGGATCTTTAAGGTCCCTTCCAACCCAACCCATTCTGTGATTTTATGATTCTGTTGGCCCAGAGTGGCACCAAGTCCTTTGTACATATGGAAGGCTGATAGGAAGAGGTTTCTGCAGATTTTTTATAAGAATAATCTGCAAGTCACTGTGGACTTTATCAACCATTTTTATGCCCAGATGAAAAGGACTGTGCCAACTCCTAAAAGGGTGTGTTTATTGGGACCTGTGTTTCCAAGGCATGAATTCATGTCTTTAATAGTCTATAACAGCAATGCTGTCTAAACAACACTGTCATCCCACTGCAACATAACCTTCCTTTTAAAATAGCTAAACCCTGTAATACAGAAGCTCTCCTCTTCCCCTATGCTTGAATTACATGATGTTACAAATTTATTTCTATTTTGCAGCCCTAAATTGTTGTATTTATAGCACTACTACTCTATTGAGAAATTACCTTGCAAGGTGTTAAAAATGCTGAAAAGATACAAGAAAAATATCCTCACTTCTCCCCAGGCAAAAAAGGCAAAGCCCCAAGTTAAGCCCAAAAGGAACATCAAGCTGAAAGCACTTTTGAGGTCTTGGAGAACACTCCGTTTCAAGAATCTGGATCTCTTTTGTGTCCTTGTCTTCACAGAGTGGATTTGGAGGAGAACAGTGATGAACATGGCTGTATTTGTCAAAAATATCAAGAAGAAATAGGCCACAACAGAGATGTAGAACACTCCACTGTCCTGAATCCAGCAGCTGCAAGAAAGGGAGGCATGGATTCAATATAAGGAGTTTGTGAGAGTGAAACTCAGGAAGCCTGGTTCCCCAAATAAGTATCCTGTATGCTTCTCCAACACTCAGGGCATACCCTAATGCCCATTATTTTCACCCAGTGAGGACATTCATGGAATCTCTCCGCTTGCCTTTTCTGATGGATATTATGGATATTCATTAACTTTGAGACGTTACTATTTCTGGCAAATTCAGATAAACATGACAATTGTTTCACAACTTAATGATGTATACACACAAAGACACACTGCCTTAGGAAAACCAAGTTAAATATGACTTAATTAGGAGTCTAAATAATAGCATCCCACTGGTTAGCTTTTCCTTAGACATAAACTAGTGTCTTTTTGATAACAATGGGTAACAATTTTCCCTCTGAGGTGTCACAGGGGTGTGTTGCCTCTCTGATGGGATAAAATTCAAATATTCCAGGTAATCTTCACCAACAAGTGATCAGATTGTGCTAAACAGAAAACAGGTGAAAAAAATGGAAGCACTTTTGCTATAAAACCATTTTTAAAAAGGATGAAAGAATGCAGTGTTTTCCCACTGGAAAAGAGAGGAGGCTGAGATGATTTAAATAAAAGAATTTGAAATTATGATGAGACAGTGATATGAATTGACATTAAAAAAAAAAAAAAAAAACACCAAAAAAACAACTCATAAAAAAACCCCAAGCCAAAACACAAAAAAACCAAACCAAAACACAAAAAACCAAAACAAAACACAAAAACCCAACAAAACAAAACAAAAAAAACCACCAGAAGCAAATGTGCAAAGTCCTTGAGCAATTATTGTACCTTCACATTTCACCAGAAACCCAGAACACAAACATATACAAATGTCCCACCAGACTGAGTTAATGTCATGTAAAGAAAGAGATTTCACGGAAAACAAACAGGGAGTTGACTGGCAGAAGCCTTCCCTGTCCTCAAGCCCATTTCACTGATGTGAGAGTTACTCCACGCAGTAGCTGCGCATCCAAAATGATTCAATGAACCAGAACCACTAAAAGGAGAGGGTAAAGATGGGGAGCAAAGACAAAAGCAAGAGAGAAGTTGCTGCCTTCTGGTTATCTCTTGTATCTTTCAGATACTCTGGTGACCATCAAAAAGCTGAAAGCATTATACTTACAAATTGCTGTAAGGATTGTTCTCAGAGTGCGACCCATTGCCATAGAAGTCTTTGTTTATAATGAGCACAAGAATAATTACAATAGCTGGTATTCCTAACGTGGAAAGCAAGGGAAAAAGAAATATTTTGATTTAAAAGAAAAAAAAATGGAGAATATGCAAAGATGTCAGATAATCTCTGATGAGTAATTACAGCAGACATATGCATCTTAGGATCAAAATCTACCCCCAAAATCTCCTTCTGAGACAAGCGTAATTAAATATATGGCATAGCAGGTCGAATCTCCCTATTTATGTAAATCACAAATGAGTAGGCATAAAAATATCCGTGTTTGCAAAATGTTTGTGAGTATTCAAACATCTCCAGAAGGGATCCAATCTGGCAAAATAAAACCAACTGATTATTACAAAAGCTGAGTGTCAAAAGATAAGCAAACCACAGCATTTTGTGTTAAGAGCTTATAGAGGCAGACGTTTTCCAGGCAGTGTTTTTCCAGTCTTCCCTTCTACTCATTTCCCATTTCCCACATTTTTTTCAGTCCTGTCTTTTCTGTGGAGAACAGCTGCTGCCAACAACACCATCATGGATGGCTGCCCCTGAGAACAGTTGTGTGCAACGTCAGATCTGAGGGTAGAGAAGACAATACACTTCACACTATTCAAGAGCCAACCTCCCCCCATTTTAAAGCAGCGTCTAATGGTGACCCAAATAACGCAGACCAAATTCTGCTCTAGGTCAGTGCCTCTGGTAACACCTTTTCTAACAGCTGAATCAGCCTATGGGCTCTTTTTGTTGTGTTTCTCCCAGACAAGCCTCTGATGCTTGTCCAGGGAAGTCCTCAGGAGAGCAATGAATGAAAGTCAAATCCCCCCTGTGTGGGGTAATCATGAATAGAATGCCAGGTATTCTGGACACAGGGCTTGGAGAAGGAACTAAAAACACCTTTGAGCACCCCCAGTGCAAGGGTGAAGGCTGTGGGCAGCTCATACGGTCACAGGCACACACACCAATGTGAAGTACCCTGATAAATCATTCCTGTAAGAACAGGAGGGGTAGGAGAGCAGTTCCTTACACCCACTTTCACCTTTTAATTTGACTGTGCAGGGAGCAACAGGCACTTTATGCTAATGTTTCCCTGAGCAGAAGAAATTTAAGCTGAACCTGCCTGGGGGGGAGAGATCCATCCTTACAGCTCAGGTCATTTCTGCTAGCTCAGTGTCCTCACTTGCTTTTGCAAATATGCCCCAATTTTAGAGAAGTTGACAAGCCCAGAAGTGAAGAAGAAATCTGCTTGCTTACCCCAGCCAGCAATGCAGCATTTTAGGATGTACTTTGGGACATAAACATTGAAAACTTTGACAAGAGCCAAGTAAAAGTGAACAGACTCCAGGCACATCCACGTGAAAGCTGCAAGAAGGAAATAGTGAAGGAGCATGGCCATGGTGATGCAGAGGCCTGGCTGGTTGAATGAGGACAGCCAGGAATTGGTGAGGAAGACCATGTTCAGCATCAGCAGTGCAGCACAAAGGTTGAGCAGGATTTTTGAAGGATTGTCTCTCCGCAGCTTCCTAAAAAGAAGGGGAAAGTCCACAAGGACTGCATCATCCAGTGTACAGCCATTCTATGGTGCTGTGAAATTTAGGAACATAGAAGTTGCTGAACAGTTCAGACTGGTGCTTGTATTAAAGCATTTAGTGTTTGAATCCTTCTAATTTCACCAGAGGTCAAAATAAAGCAATTTTTATAATGTCAGCTCTCAATCTTCCCTCCTGTGCATTACAGCATCAAATATTAACAAACGTTCTTATAGTTGCTGCAAATCCATTATTGCTAAAATATTAAAAGCCATGTGAGAAAAAGGATCAGACTTACTCAAGGGTTAAATATGTCACCAGCGTTATTCCCAAAAAAAGGGAAGAAGCACCACATCCTGCATAGCTTATCACAGTTAATATATGATCATGTGTGACATCTATTTCTGTCCGGGCCAAGTCCTGTGTTACAAGATAAAGAATCACAGTTGTTTGCCACTACAGATTAAGAAAATTCCTGTACACATTTTCACATTGAAAAGAAATCAATTCCTGTTCTGCTTACTGCTAATTTTGGAGGGTTTCCATTAACATTTTTATGGGTTTCTTATTGTATAGTCCTACAGGATATCCAAACTAGTAAAAATATGCAGTATTTAAAGTATCCAGCAATAAGTTGTGAAGCTAGAAAAGCTGTCCTTCAGGAAACACAAATTTAATAAGGATTCCAGGATCCTGACAAAATTATTCCTCTGGAGCTTGCTTTGTAGGAGAAACTATTTTGTTTCAGTGGCAGCTGCCATGCTTGGGAACTGCACAAATCTGCTAAATGTCTTGGAGTGTGGGAGGATCCTCCCTGTCCAGAAAGCATCCCTCTGCAAAATCAGCTAGGAGGCTGTGCTCTGCTTCTCCACAGCTGCTGAAGGAATATTGAGAGGATTTTGTTGTTCCCTGACACAGTTTCTCTTCTAGTTGGTGAAGCTTTGTACCTCAGACCAGTAACCCACATCTCTGATGTTGAATACTTGTAGGTGTGCTGATTACTAAAGTGGCAGTGAGAGGTATGATCTTAAAATCAAACTGAATTCTCTTCATCTGAATGGGAACTTGAGCAAGTGTCCGAAATCTGAACCATCTCAATTCCTTCCTGTAATGTCACATATTTACTCCCGGAGAGGGCTTTTGCTTCTGGTGGAGCAGGGTGATGCTGACCTCTAGGGGAAGCATCCTAAGGCAAAGGTGGGGCCATACCCGATCCTGTGGGCTGTATCCTACTGGGATTAGACAATTTTAATCTACTGAGTTTGCTTAGAACTTGCCTATCACTTTGCCTTTGTTGCAGCCCATTCTCAGGCAGTCATATCAGCTTTCGACATTTTACTTTTAGAGGCAGTTTTCTCTGTATTACAGAGAAATAAGAGGTGATACATAATGACATCTCCCACATTTGTATTAAACTTCAGTTTCTGATGGAGCATAGATAAAACATTCCAAAAGATGTAATGTCATTAGTTGCCACTGGCAGGTAATAAATTCAACACAGTATTTCCAACGCAGTAAATAAGACATTAAGGTTGATTAAGTTACACTGCAAAGAAGTACAAACTACATCTGTAAAATGAAATTGCCTTGAAGCAGGTGACATTTAGAGAACTTTATATCATTAAATTATTATAACTGTTTTATTTGTTATTACTGATTTTGGCAAAATTGCAGATATCTAACAGCTTGCATAGATATGAATCTCCCATCTCTCCCCAAATCTAAAGATGACTTTGTTTAGTGCCACGGGACTTTTTGGGAGATGATTCACAGAGTACTTACCAGTAGGACTCCAAAATGGGTAAGATGGTTACAAAAACAGATTGTGTAATTCATATCTGTATATTCCATTTCACACCCTGATGTATTCCAACCACCCAGTCCATCTGTGTAATAGAGAAAAAGGGATTTTTAAGTAGAGTTAGTCATGCTCAGTCATTTATAGCTCTGCAGCATGCAGGGTTTGTGAAGATGAGCTCAAGTTAGTACAGATTGCAGGGTCATTTAGCAGCACACAAGTGAGATTTCACACAGGAACACGTCTTCTGTAGTTGCCTGAGAACCTCAAAATTTGGATGAAAGCCTTTGGTGGAATGAAGAAATATTTAAAGTCATTTACATGTCTGCACACATAAAAAGCAAGAAGAACCTAGTGCTGGGTGAGGCTGTGCTGCAGGATGTGGAAACACAAAAAGAAAAATGTATGTACAGGGCAGAGGATTTATGTAGGCAGAGTTTAGCACTGAAAAAGCCAGATCTTCTCTGATAAGACTGAATTTAGAAGTGGTGCCTTATGGTTGTGCTATACTTTTATCCATCTTTTTCTTCTTTTTCAAATATGTAGCAGCCAACATACCAAACTAAAACTAATCTTCTATTGCAACTCATGAAGAGTTAACATTTAGCAGTATTTTTAGGAGTTATTTGAGCCAATTAATGGGGTGATATTCATCGTGTGTTTGTGTCCACTTATCCTTTGTCTATTTTAGGCTTGAAAGCAATAATAAAAGAGTGAAACATAAGATTATTTATGGGGAATGTATGATACATTCAGAAGCTAAGCTTCTGATTTTAAAAAATATATATTTTTGAACCCTGATAATTGCAGAACAAGCCTTTCCCACATGCTCTGAGTTAACCCAATACACAGTTATCTTTCTGTGTCTGTTGAGTGCATGAGACACATTCAAGGGCTGATCCCATGGACCTCCCTGAAGAAACTGTGAGAATTTATCAGACATTTCATACAATTTCTGCTTTTTAATTAGTCTAAGTCTTCTTACTGATATAGCTGCAGCACTGTACTATGCCATACATGTATCCCTAGGGCTAACACTGATTACTGAGGTACCAACATCAAGCCAAAGCAGCAACACCGACTCAACAGGACAGCCCCAAGTCTCAAAGGTGCCACATCAAGGAGTCAAAGGCTGCTGGGGACAGAGCAAGTGTGGCAGCTCTGCAAATAACACTTACTGTTCTTCCCAAAGTCCCAAAAGACGCAGTGCACTGCTGCATTGCCCTGGAAGCAGAGAAAAGGAGGCTGTGACATTTATCCAGTATGTCTGTAAGCCCTCTGCACTTGCAGACGGTGCATCTTGCTCTGGCTGGGGTGTATAACTAAGGCTTTGATTTGGGTTTGATTTCCCCTGCACTGCTCTCTGATTTTTTGCGTGGTGGTGCTGCAGTGGGTCTGTGGGTCAGGGGCTGCTGGACACTGGGGCTTGTAGAGCCAGCTGGGATATTGTCCATCTCATCCATGGCACTGAACCAGCAGAGTCCTGATTTTTGCCTCTCCCTTTACCAAGGGAAATCCTGGGAGTCAGTGATTTTCCCAGTTTTACCTGTATCTTTCAGCACCTTGTAGTCTTTTAAGGACAGTAGAAAATCTGACATATTGTCCAGCATAGACCAATTCCTGTGTCTAATCTTATTGGCTTCATGTGGTGTCTGAGATGTCACCCCAAATTACTGGTGAAATTCAAAAGTTATGACTAAGACCCAGAATAACAACCTGAGATTTTACACAATTAAAAAAAAAAACCCAACAACACAAAACAAAACAAAAAATCCCAACAACAACAACAACAAAACCCACAAGAAACCTTTATTTTAGATTTTCAATGATTCCTCTCTCTGAAACCAGACAGGGAAGACATGTAAGGGCTGAACAGATGTAAATGGATATTCAATGTAATGTTTTCTCTTGGGGACATTCTAGCTTATTACTCATAATGCTGCAGCAAACTTTCCCAGGGCACAGATTCATTTACTTTTATTATTATTATATCATTAATAAAGTTTAATAAAGCAGAGAGTTTACAGGAAGCCAGCCTAACAGATAAGCTGTTAAGATGTGTGATCTGTAGACTGTCAAATATAATTAGGCAGAGAGCCAAAGATGTAGGTTTGGATGATAACTCATTAAATATTTAATTAAGATAATTTTAAAAGGTTGAGGGAAAAAATCTGAGAGATGCCAGATGGCCTGGTGGAGTAAAAATGACAGAAGAGAGGGGATATCTAGATAAAATTTCTGGGTATATATTTGCTAGAACTGAATGGAAAGAGCATATCTCCATAAAAGCAGCATTTCCAAGCTCTCATTGACTTGAACTTTAATTAAATTCATCTTATTGAATAATTTTGTTCTGCTCTGGGTTTGTAATATATTCATGTGGAGGCTGAATCTTAAACACTGACAACCCAGAAATGCTAAGGTGAAACTCAGTCAACAAGTTTGATCTGTGCCCATTTAGAATAAAATAGACTTCAGCTTTGAAACATCATTTTGAAACAAAAGAAAGCATATTAATCTTGAAAACATCTTTGCAATGTCTTGGGTTTTTTTGAAGTTTACTTTTTTTGGTGACTAAACCAATTTGCTGAATTCAGAGCACAGATAAATCATTTCAGTCCAATCCAAAACCTGCTGGTTTTTAGCAAATAAGCTATTCCTTGGGAAAAAATTGTCCAGATCATAACAAGGAAACAATGAAAAGGTCTTGTGCTGCTAAGCATGGCTTTAGAGCGGAGACACAAACTTTAGTAACCTGCAGGAATTTATAAACACCGAGACCTGTGTGGTCTGTCAATATTTGGGTTTTGATGTAACATGGAGAGGTCAGGCAGTAAAGCGTTTCAAGCTTATTTTTCCTGTTCCCAGTTTACTGTAAGGGTGAGTGAAATCAGCTCTGCTTCATCTCCTTCTGAGGAAAGGAACACATCCTACCGTATTCTGGTCTATGTGCCGAAGAGTGACAGTCACAGGCTCATTAAGGTTCTGAATTGATGCATTTTCAACACTGGCACTCACAACAAAAGTGTTCAACTTCTTCATCGTTAAACTGTCATCCTGCAGTGGAAAAACACATGCATGCAAAAAGAATCCAGGCTCTGCCTGCTCCCATTTTTTTTTCAATTGTACTTCTTGGAAATGGTGATCAGCTAAACCCCATGGGATGCTGGATGTAAAGTTGCTACTTCATTAGAAAATGTATTTAGCTGCAATTCCAGAACAGTCTCCACATCAGCTGAAGCAGAACTGAGTCTCAGATGCATTGCATCAGCTGGATTGAGAAAGCTGTATAATTGTTTCAGTACATTTAAACATCCAGTTGTACATCATTAAGCTCATTAGACAGTAGGCACAACTGTGAATGTTTCTTCTGTGTGAAAAGTATTGCTCAGCACTCTGTATGCACCATCATTCCAAAGAAATGTCTCCCTTTTAAGTTATACCCACCCCTCCTGGAGTTAAGAAAATATAATAACTACTAGAATAATCCTAAATGCTGCACATCAGTGCTGCTATTATTTTAATGGAGACATAAATCTTGAAGTTATTTTCATGATGTTTGGTATATCCCAAATCCTTAAGAAAGAGCTTACTATCAGAGGAAGGTCAGGGTATGTTATTTTCCTGCATAACAGAAGGATTAGAATAACATCAGCTACAGAAAATGAATGGAAAGTCTAAGGTTTACAGACACCTCTCAGAGCATCCTTGCTATAGAGAAGGTTTTGCTGCATGAGCACATTTTCCCTGCACATTTCTCTCTCAGGCTGATGCTAACTGTGCCTGGAACAGACGACACTGTTGGGATTTCTTTTGTAGGCACTGGGAACAGCTAAGCCCATTCCTGCTGTGTTTGGGTTTGCTGGGAGTCGTAGTTACCGCGAAAAGTGAAGTAGTGCCAAAAAACTTAAACTGGATCTTCGAATGCTTGTCTGGGTCACAGTGCTCGATCCCTAGGAAGTTCTTCAGGGATTTGGGCAAAAACACTGAGGCCAAGGCATTTTTGAAAGGGTTTTCTTGCACATTGATCTGCAGGAGAGAGATGACATGCTCAGAGCTGCTGTCCTCAGGTCAAATGCACAACGGGACAGAAGAGCAGGAGGGTTGTCTGTTTTAGTCCATGATTCTGAGTGATACTTTGCTCTCACCTGGAGATCCACACCTCTGTTGTAGGAGGTAATGCCAAAGGCCAGTCCTCCAAACGTGCTGGGATCTGGACGCAACACCAACAGAGCCGAGGAATTGGTTATGACCGACGTATTTCTGCCTGCGCAAGTCACCTTGTAGCCTATCTCCTCAGTTGTCTGCAGGATACTTCAACAAAAGAAACAGGGAGAAAAAAAATACTTCTCTTGAAATGTTCTCCTGGCTTCATAACACACATCCAGGGAACAATCGGCTAAAACCCTCTGCTGTGATTTATGACCACAAGGAGCAAGCCCTAGAGCAGAATGGGTCAGTTTTGGGGTAGATGCATTTTGTCTCCACAGGGTCAGGTGAGGGCAAGCACTTGAGTCAGCATGTTTCAGTGGCCTGAAAGTCTGGCAGGTGGAAGATACCCTCCTGCAGGGACCACACAAGGTGGTTCTGGGAAGACCTGAGTCAAAATTCACACCCAGTCAAATACTGCATTTCATTTGGAAGGCAGTGACTTGTAAAATCTGCTAATTTGACTATTTTCAGGCATCTAATTGTACCCTCAGGTAAAATATCACAGCCAGGATAAGTTAGTCTGCAAGGAACCTTTGGAAATCTGTGCTCCAAATCCCCACCACTCCAAGCTCTAAAGGTAGGGCTGCTGCTCAAGGGTTCATCCAGTAAAACTCTAATTATCTCTGAGGACAGACATTTCTGGCCTTACTATCAGTGAGGTTTTATCTAAGTAGACAGAATAGGCTGGAATGTAAAGGAAGCAGCAAATTAGGGTTGTTTAATACTCATGGGTATTAAGAGTCAGGGACAGCTCCACAGCTTGTTTGGCTCCCTTAAGGCTACTCAGCAATACGCAAGGAGGGATAAAACTCTATCAAAAATGTGAAAGACAGCTGTTCCCAGAACAGACTGAAGGAAAATCTTCCTGTCCTTTGGTCTGGCATTACCTTCATGCATCATCAGCCCCAGACGCACCAGGACCCTTTCATCCACAGCTGCCTTAGAGCTGCAAAGCCTGGAGTTCAGCTTCCCCAAAATACCAACTCTATCTCCATTAAGGATCAAGAATAACATCCTTGTCCCTCAAACCTTACATTTCATGGGAGGAGAATTCAAAGCAATGGATATTTCCCTTAAAAACCCCGCAGCCTATTTGAGAAGGCAGAGGTGGTGCGTGCTGGCAGCTATCACAGCCCCCACTCCACACACTGCAGTGTGACAGGCTTGGAAGAGAGAGCACACAGCCCAAACGATCACGAAGCTACCCAGTGCTTTCTCTTTGACAGATTTTCTAGGTTGTTTTTGGTTACTTCTCCTTGCAGACTCCTGGGTTTGGAAAATCAATGCCGAGTTGTCCACTGCAAACAACTGGGCTGTGGCATAGTCATGCTCCACCCAGAACTTCTAATTTATCATTGCATAGCTGTGTTTGAAAAGTCTTTATCAGCACAGGTAGAGGAGTGACAGAGATTTGTGTCTCCAGGCTGACCTGTCAACAGACCTCACTGCTGAGCCACAAAGATCACCTATGAGAGGAGGTGGCAGCTGGGCAGTCCCTGAGCTGCTTCCAAGTTTGGATGCCCACAGGGAACAACACTGTGATGGTAACTTCTGCAGAACTGTTTCTGGTAAAAGCACCTTTGACAACACAATAACCAATTTCTGCTGCTAATAATCACAAACATGTTTAAGATCCAAGTACAGAAATTGCTAAATCCCATGGTGATATTTTAATAGAGTGAATGAAATAGTCCATGGTGCCTTTTCAAATTAGGAAGCCTCTTCTGGGCAAGTTATCTTACTTACGTATTGGTTATTTTTCTAATGTTCTGATCTTCTATTTCTTGCAGTGAAATATAGTCTAGTATAGACAATGCAGCCTCTGCAAGTGTCATGCTCACATCTGCAAGCTGTACGATACCAGAAATTTTACTTGCAATGATTTCTAATTCTTCCACATGCAGTGTTGCATCTGGCAAGAGGTATAAAATATGCTCTATAACATCTTCTGCATTCTCTGAAAAACAAGGAAGCAGAGATGATTTATGTGGCATAGCTGTCACTCTGGCTATACAGCTACATGTGTCTATGTTAAATGCAGGAGTTAATCTCTCTCTCTTCTCTTTCCATATGGTCATAATGCTCCTGATCTACTACAAAACTCTGTCCTAAGAATAAGTCAATAAGCCTTCAACATGTCAATGAAATGAATGTTGTCACTTGCTTTTGGATTTATAAATACTACCTGTAAATAATATTTACCTTTAACTTTTGCCATGTTTACAAGCATTTGTGAGTTTCAAATTAGACAAGATCCTCCCCTCTCCCCAAATGCTGCTTACCTGGTACCATAGCAAAAGCAAATTCTGAATGGTATCATTTGAAAAAATGTGTTTGCCATTCATCATCTCATCATCCTTCTGTAATTTTTTATAGAAGCAGAGTTTTACACCCTGGGAGTCAGAGAGACTGTGTGCACCTGCAGATATCTTTCAATTATCTACTATTTGATGTGCTGCTGAGGAGGTGGATAAGCAATGGAATTGGGTTTGTTCACCATTCAAACAGCTTACACTGTTTGGCATAGCTTAAAAAAGATATAACCATGTGGTAATGTCACCTTATTACTTATGTGAACTACAGCACCAACTTTTCAATTCCAGATACTGATTTGTGCTTCAGATATTATGAACTACTTTGATGTGGTAACAGAGACGGTATGGACAGACAAAACCTGTGACATTATTCATTGGTTATTTTCTTAGTTCTAAATCAAAGTGTGGGATTTGAGACAAATCTTCAAAGTGATAGCTAGAGAATTTTGAAGCACTTGCAAAATTAATCAGCATTAAAACGTCTTTAAGATGACCAGGTGAGCAGGATGCAGATAAAGCAATTTTATCACTTCCCTTGTTCAGATGCCCAACATAAGCATTATCTGAGTAAAACTATTTTACTGTGACTCACTGTGTCACTGAAGTATCTGGTGCCTTACCTTCTGTTACCGTGATATCTTGGAGGCCTAAAATACTATTTGGAAGTTTTTCCAGTAGTTTACATTTAGTCATGTTTGGTTCCTTCCAAAAAGCTTGCTCTAGTTCAATATTAATTGCACTGAAAAATTAAAACAATGTACATTGTTACAGGAAAAAATACATAATAATGATGTTCCTCATATTTCCCACTCAGGTAACTAAGAATGTAATTCATTAGCCCAACTTTAAATGGACTTGCAAGTCAGATCTGACTTCACACTTGTTCAGCAGAGTGGGAGCCCAGATGCCAGAGCCCTTTGAAATGCACCTGGAGGTATTGGAGGGGAGGGAGCCATGAAGGGATGGCACAAAATGCTACAGTGCTTGTGTTTCCCCTCCCTGCCCAAGCAGAAAGTCCTGAGGTCACTGCAGGTGATGGGAATGATGCCACACTCCCTCTTCCTGCAGGTCGTGCTGGACCAGCCCTGTATCCTTTGCATCCTCCTTGGCATGGCACTGCTGCCATGACAGACTACCACCTGGTTTACCATGACAAAGCCTGGTGATCCCTCCTGTCTTCCATGGAGGAACCAAAACAAGATGATCTCATCACTCACCAGCTCCTCTGAGCAGACTGCAGAGGGTTTTTCCTGCAGCTGACCTCTGCTTCGGAGGCTGGACTTGTTAGTGGCCAGGAATAACTCCCCTTGTACCTTGTGTGTGAGAAGCTTTCTGGACAATCCATCAGTGCTGAGGAGGAAATACATAAAAGCTCTTTAAAAAGATTTAATAGTCAAAAAGAAGTTCCTGCTGACACACAGGAACCCAACTGTTCTGTGGACCTTGTTTCCTGATAGGAATGAGCTGTAATTTGCAGACTGCATAGGAGTATTTTACAAGTTTACTATCTGCAAGAAAGCATTTTGTTTAGATTTGTTTAGATATTTGGTCTCTTCTTCTACACTCTTTTACTCTTTAGTTTGACAAGGTCAGTTCTCAGGTACAGTGTTAGTTTCCAGCATTGCAAACCATATTCAATGACAGCACATCCTGCAGGCTTCTCTAATCTATCTGAAGGTGCTTTCACACTGCCCCTCATTATCCCATCAGTGTCTTTCCTCCAGGCTTGTAGTGTTATCCTCTGCAACTGGTATTTTGTAAGTCACTGGTATAAAATGTTTTAAGTTTCAGTAATGGTCTGTTAGCTCTTACCTCTGTCTTACTTCTGTATTTTAAGGAGCAGCAGAGATTGTAACCAAACCAAGAAAGTACTTGTTTACCTCCTGAGGTTTGGTCCAATATGCACAGACATTACACAAATGGCAGTGAGTTTGGTTTGAGTGTTTGGCTTTGGTGTCCCTGGAGCACTGGCTACCAGCAGGGGCTCCTGGATTTATACCTGAATCAGCCTGACCTTGCCTTCATTGCAAAGGTGCTCAGACCTGCCTTGGCATCGGGATTCAAGTTTTAACTTACTTCCATTTGTCTGGAACCCAAGTTTTTTATCTTGCTGTCACTGCATGGTGTTCTACAGCTTGTGCATCAGATGAGGTCAGTCTGGCTACTTCTTAAGGGTGTTTTCTAGCCTAACGTCTCCACAAAATTTAAATTTGATAAAACACTTGTAGCCAGAATTACAAAGCATGTGATTTCCAACGAGGTTTTAGTGAAATAATACCTATTGACTTCACAGCCACATCTTCAGGTTTGACACACAAGGATAATGGTCCCTCTTTGTATGTGTCATTCAACAGCTGTTTGATCCTGAGACTCAGCACTTCTTGTATTTCCAGAGAGGTGGCCTTTATAATTGCCTTACAGATGTAGCTACAAATAGAACATACAAACAAGGCTGCCATATTAGTAACATTTCACAATGTTTAAAGTTTGGAGTGAGCCAATCATAAAACCCTGTGTCCACCAGAGGTAAAAGACTCCATGACTCCCTGGAAAACTATCTAACTAACCACTTTCAGTATCTCTGGTGGATTTCAGCTTTTCCTCAGAACAATTACTGTGCTAAGTGACTGGGCTGGCTGACTCTAGAAGGTTTGGAAAGACAGTGCCTCTCACTGAGTGGCTTCAGACATGGCAGAAAGCTCCAAGAAGCCATGAGTGGATCACCTCAATGGACTTCTAATTTAACTGAGGGCTAACAAGTGAGATTTCCTTAGGGTTGGGATGTTTCATGTGTTTCTAATTCACTCCTGTCTCCACACAGTGGTCCCTCATTCCTCAAGGCTTTTCTAAACCATTTGCAACCCCTTGAAGGTGATGGGAACCCAGCTCCCCCTCCTCCTGGCCTGGGGTCAGAAGGCAGTCTGGATTTCCTACAGGAGAGGTGCAGGATTCATTCTGGTATCCCTTTGGGGCACTGTCCACTTACTGGCCCCAGTGAAGGACACTGCTCACAGCCAGCTCTTACGGTGCAGCACAAACCTCACAGCTTGCCATGGAAGCACTTTGAGTCTCCCAAGATTCAGGGTATGAGATGGGAACCTTGGATGCTCAAAGGCATTTCCCCAAGTCAAGCATTACTCCATGTGTGCTTTTCTGGTCACTCTGAAGCTCAAACAGCCATGGAGGGGTATAATTCCTCCTCACCCTAAATATGAAATCAACATGAACTATGGAAACCCAGTTCAACACCCTGGATCTTACCTTTGTGACATCCGCTTTACCTTCCCCTTCAGGTCACATAGAGGGACACAGAAAGTTAGAAGCTGGTTAGAATCAATGGGCACAAATTGGATTTTAAGGAAAGTAATCAGCACAAACTCAATGTCCTCATTAAAATGGAGCCTGTTGCTTTAAGTGTTACTGGAACCTGACTCCATAGAGCAGCCTTTGTTTCACAGTACTGCTAGAGGTCCATCAGGATGATTTAGTAATTTCAACAAAACACAATACTGTCAGCATTTAGACCCTGCAACTACTATATCCTCTATGCAGAGGATAAGAAAAAGTAATTATTTAAATCAGAAAATAACAAATTACATACACGAGTCCTCCTATAGGCACTGCTTTGTAGATAATTACCCCTGCAAGAAAAAGAGAATAGAAAATATTTCACAGTAGCATATAACACCCCCCCTTCTGCCATCACCTAAAATACCTTCTGACCACAATGAGCCAGACTTTGCAGCAGAGAAGTCATCTTGAATTCAGCATGGATATATCTACAGAAATCACCAAGATCAACTGTAACGGAGATGCATCCTGACAAAAAACTCTTCTTCCAGAATGGGACCCACCCTTCCCTTAGGGTTTTTCAAATTGGATTCACCCCATGTGAACAGTGCAATGGATTAGTGTACTGTCATTTGCAAAGCAAGCAGTAACTGTGGAAGTCAGAGAAGAATAGGCATAAAAGACAAAAGACAAAACTCCGTGTCTGTACAAGTGACACTTCTACAACTCGCTAAAATACCCTCTCAGCTGCTCACAGTTTGGATATGAATAAGCTAGATAGGGCTAAAAGTTATGAAATAGGGGAGTCTGGTGCAAGGAACCATTGTTTTTGAGCAGAATTTGGGAACTATAATATGCTTTTGTTAGACACAGCCATGCAAGAGCCAGTGAACCTAGATAGCCCTCCAGGGTCTGTGACCCTCCCTCTGTGGGTGGATGTGACCCTCAAACTCCTTTGCACTCACATGTAATCACTGAAACGAGGCTTCAGCAACACTAATATGAGTGAACCCTGCAGGTATCAGCACTTTGCCCTTTCCATCTCCTGCAGGTACCAATTTCTCTGCTTTTTGGATAGCCAGGATGGCATACCAGATACATCAGCCCACTGGAGTCACCACTCACACTCTGCAGAGGCAGCAAAGGTTTCATCTTGGTCATGAGCCAATATAAATCAGCAAAGATGAGGTCTCACATTGGAGCAGCTACTTGCCTTGCATTAGGTAGGATACATATTTTAGGCGAATTAGCCCAGTGAACAAGATGTGGGTGTTCAACATGCTGGAAGTTGTGCAGACCTGGGGGTTTAGTTTCCACCCTTGTCATGGGCTGGTCAGTTGTGAAATGGGTATTTGGAATCTGGCTGCTAAAAGGACAGAGGGTCAAGGTGACACCACTACACAGCCAGAACCTTACCTGATTTTAAAGTTTGTCACAACAAATTCTTCTCTGGTAAAGATTATACTAAACTGGGGAAAAAAAAACCAAACATTTTTATTAACTTGATTTATCAATACTTTTTCTAGAGCTGCTTGTAAATTTAGAATTGTCATCAAAATTCTAAATCCTGATGAAAATAGCTAAGAATTTTTGCAAAGTTTTAACACTTTTCCCTTCCTTCAGAATTTCTTTTTGTCCTGTTAAAAATGTTTTGGATAACATGATTCTGAAACACCACAATATTGTTACATTTCTGTGTTGTCCCAACAGTTTGCATTCTGTACACTGAGGATTGGACTAGATAACCTTTAGAAGTCCCTTCCAACACAAACTATTCTATGATTCTACCAGCTCTCCTCCTCATTTGATACTTGCTAGAAACACATGAAAATGAGAAAAGCAAGCTACTCACCCAGTGTTCAAGAAGCCTCCTTGCATCGTAGTAATCAGGAGCTCTCTTGGTTTTGTAGAAAAGAGAAAAGTTCATGTGAACATTAAAGAAGGTGACTGTAAGGAGAGAACACAGGTGAAATGAATCCTGTATTTTGCACAGCAGGTGCCTGCCCCCCTTCCCATGTCCATACCCCTCTGCAGAAGCACAGTTGTTTTCCCATTCCCTTGCTCACCAAAGCCCTTTGGGATATCCCAGACTGCAAGTGTCCAAGTTTAGATTACTGCTGCATTGCTAGAAATTTTATTGAAGAGCTCAAGGGCCCAAACACATGGTCATGTTATCACAGCTTAACAACTGAGTTGTGGTTCATGTCTGAGTGTGCACGGTCTTGGCTTTTACTGTCTGCTGAGAGCGCTCAGGAGAAACAGGAGGATCTGCTGCCACGGGACACCTTGCTAAGCAGCAATGGCTCAAACATGTGTCTCACCTACAGTGTCAGTCAGTGTCAGTCAGTGTCAGTGATGACCACAACAGCATTTAAAATGTCACTGTTGAGCGCTTACCTGGAACAACACCATTGGTACTACTGGTCAGAGGTAAAGGGGGCAGTGTAGGACCCCTTGTTGATGATGTTTTCCTCAAGCCTGCTGGAAAGAACAATAAAAGGCCTAAGAATTCACATTGGCAAAAGCGTAAGGAAGAGAATGGTCTAGGTGAGAGAGAGGTTTGAGTCCTTCAGCGAAGGTCATCGTAACAAGGAGCTGCTCTGGTTCCACAGATCTCTGCAGGATGAAGGCAAAAGGGAAAACAAACACATGGGTTTTTATTTATTTCTCCAGAGGTAACTACAGCATAATGAGGGAGAAAACAGGATTTGCAGGGTTTAGATCCCAGGGAAGACAGGAGGCTATGCACCATTATCTTCTTTCATTTCTTATGTTGAAGGGCAGTTTTCTGTGTTCCCTTCTTGCCTGTGTAAGCTGTGCCAGCCTTCAGAGAAAGGCACTGGTCAGACACTGAGTGCCAACGGGTTTATAGGCAGTAATGGCTGTGAGAGGAACACTGATATTCGTGGTCTCTGGGTAAATGATAACCTGACATAATGATTCCCATTTGTTTTCAAAGTAAAGAATTCCAAGAATTCATTCGTAGCTAATTTTCCTTGAAGTGAATCACCTTGTCAAGCCAGTTATGACTTTTCATTTCATATGCAATGTGTCATATCACCAGGCAGACAGGGACAAAACAGGTGATGTTTGTCACATGTACTACAGAAAATTGCAGTGAACTGAATCACTGTGTAACATTACAGGCCTTGGTGCTGAAAGAAAAGCAGGATCACAACATTTTGCCCTAGAAGTACCATTTTCTTACAAGGCTTGTAATTTGTGTTTTTTACTTCACTCGAATGACTGTCAGAGACTTGACATTCTAGCTCTGACTAAGATAAATAAACTTAACATATGAATGCAAAGCCAAATGTCTATGAATAAAGAGTGTGGTCAGAAATAAGCAGTATAAGACCATGCTTCATAAAACATTGTTTTTCTCTACAGCAGTTCAAGGTAAGGAGACTCACCCATGCTTGAAATACAACAGCCCATCTCTGACTCACTCAAATCAGTGGCGATATATCCATGGACAACAATAGAAACAGGGGCTGTTAACAACTTGAAGTCTCCTATTTTTATCCTAAATGACTTCAAATTATCTTGTGAAGTTCAAAGGACATCCAAAGTCAAAAGCCCCTTCTGAGCAGGCACCCTACAGTACACAGGCTTCTGCTTCCTGGACACACAATTGATTTTCCCCTTTGCACTAAGCCACAGGCTGTGAACTCAGCACAGAGTCAAACTGGAGCAGGGGGACAATAAAATAACTGAAGTCCAGCTCTGAGTTGTCTCTCCAAGGTTGGCTCTTGCAGACTAAGCTCAGACCCTTCAGTCTTCAGCTCAGACCTTCAACCTCCAAATGCTCCTCTGAGGTGCCAGTCTGTGTTTTGGTGTCACCTTATGATCTAGGAGATGGTGGTTTCAGCCGCTGTGGTTTCCTCAGCAGAGGTAACGTGCTCAGGGCTGGTGGAGAGCTGAGGCAGGAGGCTCCCCCACACCTGGAGGCAGAAGGATGGGGAGCAGGAATGATGCACCAGCTGTTCCAAGATCCAGCAACCTGCTTTGGCAGAGCACAGTCCCCGTTGCTGCCGGGGTGTGCAGAAAGCTGTAAAAATAGCAAGCCTGCTTTTGCCATGCTTGATGAATCTTCGGTGTGCATTTGGACATCTCTCCTCTTTACTCAGGCCTTGTGCATCTGAGATAGTAGTAAACTTTGGAAATAAGAGACCTAATCTACTTTGTTTTACTCTTCCATCAAAACACTAGCAAGTCCAGGAGCAAGCTGCCACATTGCCATTTCAAATCCATTGCCTGCAGTAGGTCAGAAACATAACCTGACATAGTGGGCATTTGCTGATTCTTTATTTGGAAAAAGATCCTCAGGCTTAGCTCACTGAGCTGCAAGACAGACCTCGATGTTCCATGCACAGAGCTCTTACCAACACTAACACTGTTTGACAGACAAGAAGCCAGAAGCATTTACTGAATTAAAAGTCCTAGAGAAAAAAGAAACCAACTCTTCAAAAGAAAACAGAGGAACCTGGAACTAAGGGGATGTGCTTTTTCCTCCAGCACCTGTGCACAAGCCCTCCCCATCCTTGCATCATACTACCATGAGAATACCCAGAGAGCAAAACTCAGAGGACCTGGCCCTCAGTGCTGCAGAGAGGTAGATATTCCAGCATCCTCAGGGACTGTAATTCCGCAGTTTAAACTTCCAATGGAAACCTGTATGCCTCCCTGTGGTGTGAAG